AAGCGGCAGCTGACTGTTTATTATTAGGTGGAAGGGGGTTAGAGAGCTGGAGAAGTGCAACAATTGTAAACCAGCATAGTGAACGATTGAAGCGGCAGCAGACTGTTTATTATTAGGTGGAAGGGGGTTAGAGAGCTGGAGAAGTGCAACAATTGTAAAACAGCATAGTGAACGATTGAAGCGGCAGCAGACTGTTTATTATTAGGTGGAAGGGGGTTAGAGAGCTGGAGAAGTGCAACAATTGTAAACCAGCATAGTGAACGATTGAAGCGGCAGCTGACTGTTTATTATTAGGTGGAAGGGGGTTAGAGAGCTGGAGAAGTGCAACAATTGTAAACCAGCATAGTGAACGATTGAAGCGGCAGCAGACTGATTTTTATTAGGTGGAAGGGGGTTAGAGAGCTGGAGAAGGCATTTATGTACTTGAATGTTGAATGATGCTAGATAATTTAATAATGACCTAGAGTCTTGTCGGCATTTGCCGGGTGAATGGGTGATTGACCCCGGTACCTCTTTAGTTTAGTTATAGGGATCTTTGTGGTGCAGAGAACAAACTTCACATTGTCTTGTCACAGACTTAGGTATACATTGTTGATCAAGTTTAGGTTTGACTTTGGCAAAATTAGGAGGGAGGAGGACACAAGACATTATAGCCTAATAGGACATGTGATCCTATCCTCTAGTTTAGGCTCCAGCTTTTTTAGCATGAGAAAATGCTATGGCAATATAAGCTAGAAGTTTATTAGAGTTGCTCCAACAGCATCTACAATGGTAGTAGCTAGGAATTGCCTAAAATTTTTAGTAGCTTGACCATTGGAGTTGAAATGGGAAATTAGCTTGGCTACTAATTTGCTTTACATAAAGTTTGCAAAAGGAAGAAGAATGGAAGTCATCCACTTATTGGCAAATAGATTTCATTTAAATAGCAAGCTATTAGTTTATTATTAATATACAAACTTTCTAGAGAAGAAAATAGATTGAAATCCTATGTAATATGACAAGCTAATCTGACCATGTCATATCATTTATATTTGGCAGAAACTAGAGGGAGTTCCAAAGTTTAGTTTTTCAAAGAAGGCAACTTAGGGCAACTCCAATGGCTGCCACATAAAATTTCAAACTACTTTCCTTTCTAAGTAGTTTGTACCCTGATGCTTAGCAACTAATTTGCTATTTGGATTGGTCCCACTTTGGCCATTTGTCAACTTTTTCAAATTTTTGTCAAACTGATTCCTCATTTCAACTCCAATGGTCAATATTGGAAGCAAGTCCCTTGCTTCAACAATTGAAATTTCACTTGCTCTTTATATTACACAACCCTTGATTTTCATTATTCCTCTCCTTCATCTTCAGTTGCCGCTGTTCTCTTATTGTTCCAACATAAATTAAATTTGCCTCCTACAAATGATCTGTTTAGTTTAAGGGGGTGTTTGGTTAAAGACTTTTTGGAGTAAAAAGTGTTGTTTGACTATTTCAAAAAGCTCTTTGGGGTATTTGGTAAAGGCCGTTTGGTAATTAGTTGGTAGCTGATTGTATTAGTTGATTTGACTAGCTGGTTGACTAGCCGGTTATAATTAGCTGATTGTGTAAAAGTGTTTGGTAAATAGTTGTTAATTGTTAGCAATTTTAGTGTATTTAAGAGCCAAAAAGCTAATTATTCAATAAGCTAATTTTAAAAAGCTCTTATAATGAGCTTTTTTTAAAAGAGCTTTTTGAGCCTAAAAAGCTCTTTTTATAATATTTTTACCAAACACCCAAATTAGCTTTTTTAATTGGTCAAACATCTAATTGGGCAAAATAAGCTAAAAGCTCTTTACCAAACAAGGCCAAAGTGCTGTTTGAAAGAGCTTTTTTGGGTCCAAAAAGCTCTTATGAAGAGTTTTCTAAAAGAGCTTTTAGCTTTTTGGTTATTTTTACATTGATACAGCTAATAGCTAACGGCTATTTACCAAACACTTTTATATAAACAACAAATTACAATCAACTAATCAAAACAGCGAATGCAAATAGCTATGGCTAACAGCTAGTCAAAACAGGGTCTATAAGACTATAACTAAAGTCTTGGCTGTGGAAAATAACTAAACAAGAAAAATAGAGGGAAACCAGTATTTTTGTTATTACTGCCCAGTAATTGTAGTTGGAGTTCAACTTGTTCTTGTAAATTAGTAGAGACTGTTTTCTCTTAGACTGATGGAACTGTAAATTCTGACAGGTTGGATGATCCACTCATGTGGGGATTCAAGGACTTTCCTATAACAGATCCCAAATTGGCGAGATGGGTACTTGCTGCTGAAGATATATGCTTTAAAAATACAGTGCTGTCTTATTTTTTTCGACTTGGTATTAACTGGCTATGGTTCCCATCTGTCTTGTCATTTATGCATTTGATGAATGCATATTCTGTCCTTTTTTTATAACCGTATGGCATCTATTTCATTATTTTTTCAAGCTTCTGACCTAATTGCTTCAAGTTAGCCTGATGGAGTGAATTTAGTATGAAACTTCACTGTTGTTAAAGTAATGGATGATGATTTACTTATATTGTCACAGACCTTGTTGATGTTAGATGTTAGGAGCCTATAAAAAGAATTGTTTCTATAGGAATAAATGAATACTGTGTTTCTATCTGGGAGAGGTTTTCAGAAGCAAAGAACTTCTTGTGAAATGATGACTTGTAACTTAATGAAGAAACATAGTCTCAGTAGATGGTCAAGTCATATCCTCCTTTTTTGAAACAAAAGTAGGTTCTTCCGTATCTTATTCTTGATTTTTACATTTTTGGCTTTTACAAAGTATTATTTTATTTACCCACGAGTCTGAACATCTTATAGACTTAGGCGATAATGACCTATCTTTGAACCTTTATAATTCTACTAATGTCAGTCTGATGAATTGCACGCTTCCTCATGTTGTCAAAGAAGATTTGTGTTAGGCTTTACGCCACAGTGAGATTATGTTTTGTTGTCTTGGGTTCTTGGCTAATCCTGTTCTTATTTCTGGAAGATGCTACATTAGTATCACATACTAAACTTTCCTTTGGCTCTACTTGTTGCATTTATTGCTTCCATTTATATGCAATGATATACCATTTACATCATATTGCAATACATCATTGTTACAACTTACAATTGTACATGGTCTTGACTGTGAAACTTTTCTTTAGCCTTAGCAGATTTGCATGCATGAAGTCCGCTTGAGTTGTGCTCTCTTCTGAATGAGTATATTGCACAGGAAAATGCATACCTGTAACAAGAGTTGGTGGAATTTATCAGGAACACATGAATGAAGCACTTGAGCGTTTAAGTGATGGAGAATGGGTATGGTCTTGTTAACTTGCAATTTTCTTGCATAGAATTACATATTGCCTGACCAGTATATATAGGAATGTTTCCCATGTATATAATGTTATGATTTAGTGAACTTCATTTCCTAACTGAAACATGGTTGCCTAGAGGATTTATTTATTTATTTATTTTTCAATATGGAAGTGCATATGAAGGCTTACATGATTTTTGTTTACAATTGTTAAGACAATGCTGTTTTTGCTTGAGTATTTCTAGTATTATTCTGTTTCGGAGGTAATGCTTGTATGAATCCATGATTCTGAATCAACATGTTTATAGTGATATTGGGCTTCTCCTATTAAGTACTGATCACTTGCTTATATGACAAAAATGGCTGGTACAGGGTTTAGTTGCATCCACATGTATTTGATGCTGTCATGCAGTATGATATGTTACTGAAATTGTGCATAATGTTGAATGAATTTTGAGATAGAGGAATGTATTCCAAGCTATTTGTGTAGATATGAACTCATGGAGAAGTTACGTCAAAAAAAAAAAAAATCATGGAGTGGTCTTAAGAGTTTTAAGTCCCATAGTTTAGAATTAATGGAATTTTGCCTTTTGTGTAATGATTATCTTGATTTTTTAGCTGCATACCTTTCCTGAAGGGAAAGTGTCTCAAGAAGATGGTCCGATAAGAAGATTAAAATGGGGAACTGCTAGTCTTATCACCCGTGCCCCAGTGACACCAATAGTTTTACCAATTTTCCACCATGGTTTCCATCAGGTAAAAGAGAGGTGACCTACAAACTCCTGAAAAAAGATCATTCCCGGTTTCTTTTAATGTATGTAGCATTATCCAATCTTTTTTTATTCAGGTCATGCCAGAAGACTTCTTATTTGGTAGAAGACCACCATTTCCACTCATCAACAAGCACATTAAGATTATTGTTGGTGAGCCAATAGAATTTGACCTTCCTGGATTGAGGAAGATAGCATTATTAGAATCTCATAATGAATCTGAACCAAGGCTTGGATGGCCTCGCATTGCGCGTCATGGTTTAGATGAAGTAGCTCAGAGATATCTCTACTCCAACATATCAGAGAAGATACAAACCGTCTTGGAGAGTCTGCGGCAATATGGGAATTCAATCTCAAAACAAAGAGATTAAAAATTTGAAATCCCTGGAAGTTATGTACACATTGAAGATCTTAAATTATTTTCAACAATTTTCTTACCCAATATTAAACTGAACCAATTTTGCTGGCTATTTCTCCATGGTAAATTCTTGGCTTATAGCCGTTATAATCTAATGTTTTACCAGGGACAAAGATCAAGTTACAAAAAAGTAGTGCATGGTATACAATTATTTTTTGCATCAAGATTTTTTATTTTTGTTTAACCTCTGCTTTTTGAATAAAATTACATAAGAAGTATGAGTATTACAGTAATTAAAAACAATGTTTGAGTCACTTGCTAATAATAAGTAGATTTTTTAGACTATTATTGTACAACCTTTAAAGGGTATCCGTTTTACTCCCGCACGAATTTGTGGTAGACGTGTAGGAAACCCTGAGTGACAAAATGATTGCCCATGCGGCCACACAGGCCATACCACCACTATGAACTTAACCAACAAACTCAACCTCATATCCTCATTCCACTTCCAACCAACAATCTCTATTTTCTTTTCAATAAACAGAAAATAAAATACAATGCTGATAGTAAGTACCATTAACTCCCAACTTACACCCACCCCGGCCACCCGCACCGTCGCCTTCACCACCCCAGAAAACAACTACGCCTCCCGACTCGCTCTCCTCCTCCACCGCCACAACTTCACCCCACTCTCCTGCCCCACCGTCATCGTCGGCCCAACCACCGCTACCACCACCTCTCTCCGCCACCACATCTCCCTCCTCCACCACTTCTCCGCCGTCGCCTTCACCTCTCGCGCCGGCATCACCGCCTTCTTCACCGCTCTCTCTCAATCCCCACCACCTCCGCTCCCCGCCGGAAAAGACTTCATCATCTCCGCCCTCGGAAAAGACGCCGAACTCCTCACTCCTGACTTCATCTCCTACTTATCCCCTAACTCAGAAAAAGTCAGACTCATCCTTCCTTCCAACCCCACCCCCAGTGGACTCGTTGACTCACTCGGACCTGGGCTGGGCCGGAAAGTTCTCTGCCCCGTTCCGCTCGTTTTGGGCCTTGAGGAACCCACCGTTGTTCCAGATTTTTTACGAGATTTGGGCCTAATGGGCTGGGTTCCTTCTCGTGTTAACGCGTATGAGACGAGATGGGCTGGGCCCAAATGTGTGGAGAAGTTGGTTGAAGTGGATGAGTTAGATGGGCTTGTGTTTACTAGTACGGCGGAGGTTGAGGGTTTGTTGAAGAGTTTGAGTGAATATGGGCTGGACTGGGAGGGAGTGAGGAAGAGGTGGCCTGGGCTTGTTGTTGCGGCCCATGGGCCTGTTACGGCTTCTGGGGCTGAGAGGTTAGGGGTTAGAATTGATGTTGTCAGTTCTAATTTTAGTAGCTTTGAGGGAGTTGTTCAGGCTTTGGATCATATTTGGGGAAATTCTGATTTCTTTTGATTTTTGTTTTGTACTGTAATTTTATTGTTTGTTTGTTTGTGTTATACAGTATTCTTTAGGTTTTAGGTGGACAAGAAAATGTTGTAAAGTTTATGTTTTTGAGGATTTTGTTTAGTTCTCAAGAGATTTTGTTAGGTGGTATGTTATAATCATTGGCCTACAAATGGCACGAGTAGATCTTATGTACTCCCTCTTTTTTTTAGAAGTTAGAGTTACTATTTTCGTCCGTTTTTGTATAAGCTAGAGTTCTATTTTTAAAAATCTCTTACAACTTAATAATATATCTTTACCCACTAATGTCCCCATTCTTACTTACTTTATCATTTCTCAATCCTCCAATGGTCCTCACTCCCTCTTACACCACTTTACTTTTCAATAAAATAATAACCTTATCTATCTCACTAACATCTTATTTTATTAAACCACCTAAAACTCCGAGCAATCTCATCTCTAACTTATAAAAAAAACGGAGGGAGTATAAAAAGGCTAAAAGGTCTTATTTTTTGAAGTTGTGTATTGACGAAGTTTGTGTCAATAGTGAATTCAATTATCATATATATTGATCGGAAAGACAAATATTCGGATTGGATCAACTAGATTAGATTTTTTTTCAATACTCCCTCCGTCCCCTTTTGTTTGTCACTTTTAAAGGAAAATCACGGGAATTAAGGTGCAGGATGTGAAGTAATAAAAGTATATGGGAAAGTGAAATTCTCAACCAATAAAGTAATAAAAGTGCATGGGAAAGAGACATTTTTCAATTAAAAAAGTAATTAAAGTATATGAAAAAAAGAAATTGAGAGATTCAAAAGTGTAAAAACATTAAATTAGTCAAAAGTTAGCGCAGTTTTTATGGCAAATTTTAGGGTAAAATAGAAAGAGGACTTAATAAGGACAAAAAAATGAGAGTATAAAAGTCTTTTTATATATCTTAATAATTATGAAAATATGAAAAGTGACAAATATATAGGGGCATCCAAAATAGTAAAAGTGACAAACAAAAAGGGACGGAGAGAGTATTGATTATTGACTAAAGAGTCAAGAGTATGTCAAGGGAAATATCAGTTGCAATATCAGTTTCTTTTTCTTTGAATCAAATAAACATCTAACTACCTGAATGAAGAAGAAAATGAAAGATTTGAAAGATCACATTATTCTGGTGTAAGAAGTCCTCGTCTCATATAAATGATCTGACAAAGAAAAGGACAACAAAGTACGCCATATTTAAGGGTGTTTAGTTGTTTACCGATTGCCTACATTAAACGTTTTGTAAATTAATGGCCAATTATGTTGATTATTATTTTATTTTTTATTTTTATTTTTTTGGGTGCAATTATGTTGAAGTTTGACTAGTGTATTTTTGCAAGTAAAAGTTTGTAAAAGACTCGTTTTAACGAAACAAACAACAAAGGTGGTAAATTACTGGTACTCTTTTTTTTTTTGTACTCCCTTTTTTTTTTTTGATGGCCAAATTGTACATGGACAAAGAGATATAGAATTCCTAATCTTGCTATACTTTTGGAATAAGATGACATCAACAATTTAACATGTATCTTATAGAAATCTTATTCTATAACTACTCGTATCAAATTAACAAATTATATCACAATTAATATATTCATGAGCCAAAAATTGTGTTTGGACTTGTTCGTCATCATTTTACTAATTTTAAGTTCAAAATACAATAATTAATATTATTTAACCTTTACAATGTAAAAAAAAAAAATACAAAAATTGAAATCTAATGTTATAGAACATGACCTTGCAATTTAAAGGAAATGGGGGAAACTAGATGCCAAACGTCCGTAGTGCCAATAAAGTTAATACAAAGAATTAGGTAATGTTTAGAGCATCAATAAAGGATTAAAGGAACTCTCTTAGTTGACTGACTTGAGCACTTGACTCTTGAGGAGAAGGAAAAAAAAAATTAAGAAGTGACTAAGAAATGATAAGCTTCTATTTGGAGATGGCAAAATAATTCTGAAATTAGAGACACTAACTCCAAGCTAGAGCCACACTAATCACACACAAACCACAACAGTGTATTTTGCTTTTAAAAATAATTTATTTAGAATAAATAACACATGCTATGATTTTATACAAATTGTTGATCTTGAGATTAAGAGGTAGAGAATAAAAGATAGTGAATTTCTTGTAATTTTTGGAAGCAACTCAATCTTAAAGTTAATTAGTGACATAGGACTAGCAGTGGCAGATTCAAAAATGATATTGAGTAACTGTATTTTTTATTTCAGGTGATCGCAGATTTAAAAATGATATTGGGTAGATCAAAGTCCACTACTGTATTTCAGGTGATTGCAGATTCAAAAGTGATATTGAATAGATCGAAGTCCACTATTGAATTTTTTATTTAAGGCGACTTGGGATCAAGTGACCTTAATTTGTTGTACGGGGCTTCGTCACTGCATAAAAGAGACCATCGTTTAATTCAACAGGAAAAAAAAATGACATATCAACCTATGTACCCGGTTTATTAACTCTATCCTAACCTTAAATCTTCAATCATGGTGCAAAAACAATTAAATAGAATTAATGGGATGCCTGCTTTCACATGCTTTTTTAATTGCCCAAAACTTTTTGACTCCTAGCTTTTGGAAACACTTGACCTCTTTGGTGCTCCTATTATACGTACGTATGATCTACTACGCTTTTCAATAATTCTACAGTACCATAAAAATAAATGTCGAAAGAGAGATAAAGTTGTGAAAGTTTGTTTGCATTTGTGTCACTATTTTGATGATTTATGAGTTGAAAAAAAAAAATAATAAAAAAAAAATGAATTAATATTTCCATAAATCTAAAGTTATGATCAGTGAAAAATCTCGTGAATCCAATTACAGCCAAAAAAATTCATCTTTTCTTGCATAAATATACTTACAGTAGTTATTATCTGGACGAAGACCACGTCTAAGGTTATGAATATCATTTACTTGCCTGCACGTCTGCCAATTAAGCTGCGTTGAATGGAACTCCATTATATATGTTGAGGCCAATTTAACCCCTATTCATCTATTTATTCGATCACATTTTTCTTTTCCTTCGTCAAAATTATGATAAGGAAAAGGAAAAATTGGCGCAACAACACTTACTATTACAAAGGTGCGTGTAGCAGCACAAACCTTTTAAGGATGCAGCCTAAAAGATGTTGTCTACATCACAAACTATGTACTTGGGTGCACATAATAACATGAATGACACCAATGAATTGAGATTCCAATGAACTAAAAAATGGAATCTTCATTATTTTATTATTGTTTAAATATTTTTTAAACTTACATGTTTTTCCATTACCCATGACTAAGTTAGTGTTTACTTCTATTAAATATTTTCATTTAAACACTTCTTAACCTCCACCATTAAAGTTCGCTTCATCAATTACTTTTTTTTTTTTTTAATATATCGATCTCATGTGATTGATTTATTTACCTCTCCCCCTCCATTAGTCAAATACTAATTATAAGTTGATAAATAAAAGAAAATCATCCGAAAACCATTTCGTTCCTCTAAATTTTAGGATAAAAAGTCTATTTCTAATACCATGCAAGCCCACAAAATGCTTCAAAATACTTAATTCTTCAAAAACAATTTCAGAATAAGATTTTAGGATAGGTCAAATTGGTTTTTTTGGTTTTCAATGTACAACACTTTAATGGTGGAGGTTGAGAACGATAGTAATTTAAAGGGAAAAAATAAAATACAGGAAGAGGAAACTAAGACAATCACGTGAAATGTTAAAAAAAGTAACCGAAGAAGCAAACGAAGGAGAATAATGGCGAAAACTTTTTGAAATAATCCCTTTAATGATGGAGGTTGAAAAGTGATGTTTAAAGGAAAACAATCAATAATGGAAGACAAGACTACATAGTCAAGTGTGGAAAATCAAGTAGGATGAAATTAAATAAAAATATTAAATTATGTATAAAAAGCATTAAAAATATTGAACGAAAAGTCCACTTTTCGATGAAATTTGAGTTTAGTTGGTGACATTTATGTTGTTATTTGCACCCAAGTGCATAGTTTGCGATGTGAAGTGCACCATCAAAAGGTTGTACTGCTGCACGCACCTTTGTCATAGTTGGTGCCGTTACGGCCAATTTTTCCTAAGGAAATTAATTATAATGTATTTGTACTTAACTCGATAGATTTTACGTACTTCATCATTTTTATTTATTTTTATTTTCTGTATACAATAGAACAATATAACATTCAGTCATTGATCATACATAAATATGGCTTGGTCCAATATGAAAAAAGCACAACACGAGCAAAATGCATCATTTTATGGAGAAACACAATAAGGCACGACACATAATAATGGCCTAATATGACAATAAAGTAAACTAATATAAGTAAAATTTGACTTCAGCACGACAATAGGCACGTGGCTTGACAAGTGTATAAACTACCTTTTAAAATTTCGATACAACACATAGCTAGTGGGCTTGATCAAGCCTATATTTAGGCCCTATTCTGTTGAGCTTAATTTTAGTTCAGTTCAGTGCAGCTCCAATTAGTTCAGTTCAGTTCAGCTCCAATCAGTTCAGTTCAGTTCTTTTGCTAATTTATTTGTTTCATATGATTTAGCTAATGATATTGTTAATGACAATTTAGTTTAGGCATGCCTTTGGGCCGATCTTTTTAAGTTCATCTCTTATGTCTAATGATGTTGCTAATGATAATTAAAGCCAAATTTCATACTTTTTAGTATATATTACAACAACGACGACAATAATAATAATAATAATAATAATAATAATAATAATAATAATAATAATAATAATAATAATTCTCCTCTGACACAAACAGGGCTATTTGACTTTGTTCCTGGACGGGTTGTGGCTGATGCAGCTCGTCGGAAGCGGGTGAAATATGAAGCTAGTTGTCGGCTGATTGGATATGGTTTCATTCCCTTCTCCTTTTCTTCACTTGGGGAATTAGAAAAGGAGGTTGTTGCGTTGCTGAAGCGAGTTCAGAGGTTCTCAACGACACAAGACATTGTGGCTCGTGCTGCAGCTCATATCTTCACTAGGGTAGGCTTTGCTATAGCTAGAGGAGTAGGGGCCCAGATTGTTTCTCGGCTTCCCACTAATTTATTGTAGGTTGTATGACTTTGTCTGTTTTTGAGATAATAATAATAATAATAATTGTGTCGCGTTTGCAGTCTTCTGGTCTACAGGCTTCGCTTCTTCGCAATTCTGGTATTGTTGGTCCAGGTCCGGCCTTCGACGACGCTCTTAGTCTTTTTAATAGGACTGTGGAGACTGACCTTTTGCGTTACCCTGGTGAGATCGCTGCCCCCAAACTCATGAAGAAATTGGCAGATATATATTTCACGAAGGTCACTGCATCTGCAGAATCCACTTTCTCCTTGTCTCCGCGTCAGGTTGCCTTATGGAAGTCCCAACAGGGGGATTACTCTTCTGCCTGGTTGCGAGCGGTCCCGATATCAGGTCTGGGTCAGACTATGAATGGTAAGACTTACCGTTGTGTTCTTTGCTACCGGTTGGGTGTTCCCTTGTTCTCCGTATCGGCACCTTGTTCTGCTTGCTCAAGAGTTTTTGATGGGGATCATGCAGTGTCTTGTGCTGGGATGGTGGGTATTAAACATCGGCATAACGTTGTTCGTGATACCCTTGTTGATATTTGTTTCCGCTCTGGGATTTCTGCAAGGAAGGAGGTCAACGTTGGGTTAACTGGAGGGAACGACGGGGCTCTTCGGCCAGCAGATGTGTTGCTTAACTCCTGGGATAGAGGCCTAGATGTATGTGTTGACTTGACGGGGTCTTCTCCATTGACTCAATCTGGGTTGTCTGACTTCGTTCCTGGTCGTGTTATGTTGGCTGCGGCTCAGCGGAAGCGAGACAAGTATGGGGCGCGTTGCAGGGCTATTGGCTATGGTTTTCTTCCTTTCTCCTTTTCTTCATTGGGGGAATTAGAGAAGGATGTCGTTGCGTTGCTGAAGCGGGTTCAGGCGTTCGCTAGGACTCAGGATATTGGAGCTCGTGCGGCTGCTCACATCTTTAACATGATTGGGTTCGCTATAGCTAGAGGGGTGGGGGCCCAGATTGTATCTCGGCTTCCCACTAATTTCTTGTAAATCTTTTGACTTTGTAGGTTTTTTTTATTTAATAATAATAATAATAATAATAAAAAAAAAAAAATAATAAAATAATAATAATAATAATAATAATATTCATTGTTCAAATGGTTATAATTTTTGAACACATTTTTTTTGGTTTGTTTTTGTTTCATTTTTTAACAACCAAACTATTACAGTAGATTAATTTCACAGGCATTAATTAACGTGAAAATAAAAAATTTAAACAAAAAAAAAATATTAGTGGATTAATTTTGAACTTCATTTTATTTTTCATAATTATTAGTGGATTAATATCATTACTAATCCATTGTTAAAAATCATTAATTCATAGTCATATATTTTAGTTCAGTTCAGTTCAGCTCCAATCAGTTTAGTTTCAATCAGTTTAGTTCAGTTTAGTTATTTTCATTAAATCGGAACAAACCCTTAGTCATATGGAATTATGGATTAGCGACGATGCTCGTTTTATTGAAATAATTATTAAGCCCTTACCATATGCTTCCAATGCAAGTGTGGACTCCTAAGGATAGACCAACTAAGATATAGATAGTCAGTAACCCAAACAGAAGTTCATATTCAACAAATTTTGGGATGTTTTGCCTAATTGCTAGAATGTACTGGTAATAGATTCTTTTTCTAGTTTTAGGTGTAATATTCTGCTTAATTATTTAGCGGTTACAAAAGAAAGGAACTATGAAAATCCACTATGCCGTCGTAATTTTTAATTGTTAGCATCTACTTAATTGAAAATCAGTACTACTTGTACATGAGAAGTACATGATATATTGGGGAGATGAAAAGATCAAATATATTAGAAAAATTGAGCAATTAACATTGAAAATTTTAGTTTGTGTGTGTCTTGTATTTTAGTTTCTTTCAATTATTATTAGCTTAGGTTGTAATTTGCTCTTTAGTTATGAAGTTTTCTTTTAAAACAAAAACTTTAAAAATTTTGTTTTTCATGAACGTGACTTACATTTGTCTATTACAACCAGGAAAAGGAAAAAAAAAAAGTGGAATTGGAGTCAACTCTCGGAGTTTTGACTGTATAGCCGAAAAATTGATAGCTATTGTTTTTAATAAACTTTTAAATTTAAGGTACTAATTGGATAAAAGAATCTAATACTATTATATATAAATCAAAAACTTTTTTTTTTTTTTTTTTTTTTTTTTTTTTTTTTTTTGTAACATATACTTGTATGTAGTTGTTTTATTGTATCATTTGTATGTAGTATATTTTTTACAGGTTAATAAAATCCCATTCGAAATTCCGAACACCGGGGCGGTAATGGAGGACAAAAGGGCCATATGCCAAATTGCCAATTCCTTTCAAAAATTTCCAAAGTTTTATAAATGAATGAATATTATTGCATCTCTAATAGGGCCCCGATTATAATCATTTGGTCGTTTAGCAATTGTTTTTTTTTAAAAATTATTATTGTTGTTTTATTGGGAATGTGCAAATGTACTACTCTATGTTGTACAGAAGATCTGATCTAAAAAGTTTAGTTTTATGATCATCTTATTATCATTTCTCTTCTTATAACTCTATTAAAAAAATATGAGTATAAGAAGAAAATACAGGGTATATTTTACTGTATTGTGTACTTTGACAAGATTGCCAGTTAAAGAGATCATAGTTATTAGTTAAAGCTCGTTTGTGGATACGGTAGAGAACTCACCATATAACTATATTGAATTAGTGTTTGGTTCATTTTCATTTTATATTTTTTTGGTGTTGACTTTTTAAAATTAGTGTTAATTTAAGAATGCATAAAAAATCACTTTATTTCCAATCCAACGAACACAAGATTATGGGTAATGTCAACTGCGACAAGTAGTAAGCAATAATTGTATGATACTAATGATACGATGCCTCGTCAATTGCCAAATAAGTGTGACATAACAGTGGCACGTGAGGGATGATATATGTCACTATTTAGTTTCATTATCACCTTAATATAAATGTAGATGTGGGATGAACTGCTAATGCTTAATAGTGACATTTATAGGGCCATTTACCCAGCTAATGTTCTTGAATTCAACCTAACAGCCCAAACATACTTTCAAATGTATTTATTTTTGTTTCTCAGTTAATTTATTTCCTTTCAATTTCAATTTATGGCATGTACAACAGAGTCAATTTCTGGCACGAGTAAATTATGATTAATAACAATCATAATTGCACTGAGATACAAATAATGCAAACAGGAGAATCCAATCAATCACATATAGAAAGGAAAAAAGTCATATTGCTATTTTGGTCATATTAAGGAAAGTAATTAATTTGGTTAATGCATGGTTGATTGAGGTTTAAGTGTCACATAACCTCAAGCTTCCATCCCTTATATGGAGTATAAAGATTTTTTTTTTTAAGTTGATCATACAACTTTGACTATAAATTAATACATTTTTTTTAATAATCATTAATTGATGGAAGTTGTATAAAAATTGCTAGTTTAAAAATGTATATTGAGTATAATTCACCAATATTTTACATTATAGGAGTAACATATGATTTTATACACCATATATAAAAACATAGTCAAACTTAATGTACTTGTACATGATTAATGCAAAAGTCAGAGTGTACGTATGTGTGTTGAGAATAGTTGACAGTCGACAAAACTCACAAGAGCGGTGTAGCGTCAACAATACATGGTGAAGTAATGGTTAGCGGCGGGTGGTACCAACGGTGGTAGACTAGAGACTTATGTTAGACATGATTTTTATCAGAAGTGATGAATTGGGCACTCTTTGAAGCTTCAGTACTTTTGATGGACTAACTACTACTTACAAAATCATTTAATATACCATGATACCATCTAATCACTCAATGGTACCAAACATAGCTGGTCTAGTGCTAAAATTTGTATCTCACAACTATGAGGTTGTGGGATCAAACCCCACTAGAGGCACTTTGGAGTGGGGATTCCCTTACTCTTCCCCCCACTCTCAAAGTACTTAGCCTGCTTACTTGGCGGGGAGGACCTGTAAGAGGTTTCGGCCTGATAGGGCTCTTCTCCTTACCAACCCAAAAAAACGTAGATTTATGAGAGACACGTTAGATCGGATGAGGGGTGGGTGGGTATACTCATGGTACATTGTAAACATGTTGAAAAAATCATATGAAATTAGTTTTTTCCATAGCATTATCTATATTTAAAAACCATCACATTCATCGTTTACTCCTACTTTCTTCTTAACAAGCAAAAATTAGGTCAAATTAAAAGTTGATAGGTGAAAATGTGAAATTTAATTGTACATATTTGTGGTACAACCAATAATATTGCAAGTGTTGAATACGATTTTGCGATTCATTTACTTATTTTGAATAATCATGACAAACAAAGTAACAAAATACTTTATACATAGTACTTAATACGGATATTGTATGATTTACAGAATTACAGAGTATATATCGTGGACTCTGTGATATAACCCGGTTATACATGGAAAAAAAAAGGGTGAAATTAAAAGTCATGGGAAAACGACGTCAAGTGTTACTACCTCAAATTTAAAAATTTGAACAAAAATCCTGCAGATTCCATACATAGTTGGTGTCCCCCAAAACACCCTTTTCTCTCTCCTCTGCCGTCTGCTCCCAACAAGCTGTAGTAGTAGTAGACGAACTTCTGTGCCCAGCAAACATATCCTTCCTTATTTCCTTACTAAATTTATTCACATAATTTAACTCTCGTGACTCTCACTTCTTTTCCCTCCTTTCTTTACCTTCATTTTTTCCCCTTTAATTTATTTTCATTTTCTCTCTCCTCCGGCGTTCAAAGATCCCTCATTTTCTCTCTCATTTCATCAAAGGTCGACGCTTTTCTTCAATTTCTAGCTTCTGCAATCCTTTTTGGGTAATTGGTACTTTTAATTTGATCTTCCATTTTTTATTTTTATGTACATTTGCTTAATTCAATTACATAGTTTTCTTCCATTCAAAAAATAAAATAAAATTTTACATAGTTTTCATATATCTATCATTTATTTTATTTTTTTTGCAAAAAGATCTGTTCTTTCGCCCATTTTTGTTTGAGATTTGCTGTATTTTTCTGGGTTCTGGTTGAAGATTTCTGCATAATCTATTGCCACATTTTCTGGGTTTGTTTTACTTTTTTTTTTTTTTTTTTTTTCTTTTTTCCCCAAAGATAAATAAATTTTAATTTTTTGTTGGGTTTTTTCCTCCTTCTGATTAATGGGTTTGATTTTAAACCCAGCTGAATTTCTTGTTCGGCAATTAAACCCAGCTATTATGTTGTCTTTGCTACCGTTAATTTTTAATAATTTTTCCACGTTGATTGTTGTTGATTCATGAAGGTTCTTTTGTCAATTTATCATGTCTTATTCTGGGCTATTGTACATGTTAATTGGGGTTTTGTGGTCCATGCAATGGACAATTGAACTTGAACTAATTGCTTATTTGTTTATGTGAGTTTGATTTTATGCCTTAACATATGATATGATGTACAGAATGTATCATTCCACATAGCCCTTTTATATGGAAGGTCCAATTCTGTGAGGTTTATTTGGGTCCAACTTGTTGTAGGGTGTAATTGTATTTCTTACTGATAGAGTTGACTTTGTGCGCCCCAGAATTATGATATTCTCTGTGATTGTGATCCTTTTAATGAGAGTGTGCCCCATTAATATGAATGTTAATCAATATTGATTTTGCTCAGCTTGCATTAGTTTTTCTGTCATTTTGAGATGTTGGTGTTAATGAATTCGGGGTGTGTGTAAATTGCAGTCTGGCAAGGGTTTGGGTGAAGTGAGGCTTGTGGAGCCCTCGAATGTTTGGAATTTGATAGTGAAATGACAATGGATCGAACACCCAATACGTCTCACAGTTCGAGATTCTCTTCCATTAGTGCTAATGGGAATGGATCTCCTTCCCACTCGAGTGCCTTTTCCAATGGAGATGACTATGACAGTGATGGTACAACGAACTTTGCTCCGCCGTAAGTTTCTATTTACTTTGCGACTTTTTATAATTGTAATGTATATTGTATATTATAATGACATAGTTTTGCATTATATTGGGCTTTACACTGGTTAGTGGATAGTCTTTATTAGCTGAAGTCTTGAATGTGAAAAGTCAATCATGTAGGATTACGCTGTTTGAGCTTGTGTGCTCAACTCACATTTGGGGAGACTGCACACTTCCTTGCATCAAAGTAAAGAATTGAAATGTTATATCTCTTTTAACTAAGTTTCAGACTAGATCCCGTGGAAGTTGGCACCATTTTTCATGCTAAGCCACTCTCTGTTACCATACGTTAATTGTATGCTTCAGTGAAGGTATAGGTATCAATCTAAATTATGATTGTGGTTTTACTATTTGCCTAATTGATTGAGCTTCAATCATCCCTGTTAATCTTCTCCAGACTCATTTTTAAGAAATTACTCTCCCTAGGGCCTCGCTGTTTGTCCCTCTCTAATTATTTGCTCTCTAAATCAATTTTTTATACCCTGATTGTGTTAACATGAGGAGCATGATATCTAACATTGCATAGAGTCCTAATGAATCACTTTTTGGGCTTATTTGCTTCATGTTCATGAAATCTTGATTTTGTATGTTAATATTGATGAAACATAATTGCAACTTTTTCTGATAGAGAACTTACAAGTATTAGTGTAGTTGTCTGTGACACTATTTGAATGCAAACAAATAATTTGGAAGTCAATAAAATCTTTAGAATGATAGGTTTTCTCTCCATCAATGCTTTGATATTTCTCGTCGGAGTAACATTCCTTATAAGTGTTCTATATTCATGTGGACTCTTGAGAGTTTCTGTAAATCTTTATGAGTGAATTATCAGTGACTCCTGGGTTTTGGTTTTGAATATATTGACAGTACACCAATGACACTGTCGATGTCCATTCCAGCTGAACTTGCAGGGGCAATTCCCTTAATCAATAAATTTCAGGTGAGAAATTATCTTCAAAGTGAAGTGCAACGTATTCATACTTCACAATAATTATACATGAAATTAAATCTAGTTCTGTTTATATTTCTTGTACCTTCATATCGTGAAGCATGGTTTTTTTAGGTGGAGGGTTTTTTAAGAGCAATGCAGAAACAGATTCAGTCCTCTGGAAGACGTGGCTTTTTCTCCAAGAAATCCTCTGGTCCTCAGAACAGGGAGAAGTTCTCTTTTGAGGATATGCTTTGCTTCCAGAAGGTAATTTATCAGCCTTACTATATTTTTACTCTCCCTGTTACTTCTGTACTCAGTTCAAACAATATTTGACAGGATCCGATTCCAACTTCCTTGCTTAAAATCAGTAGTGATTTGGTGACTCGTGCTACAAAGCTGTTTCAAACAATTTTGAAGTACATGGGAGTTGATTCTTCAGATAGAGTTACTCCAACAAGTTTAGATGAAAGAATTGAACTGGTTGGAAAACTGTTTAAGCATACCTTGAAGCGTTCAGAGCTTCGGGATGAGCTTTTTGTACAAATCTCAAAGCAAACCAGGAACAATCCAGACAGGTGCTAAAATTTCCTACAAAATGCTACTTCTCATGGACACTATATTTAATTATTTATGGTATTTTTTTGCTGTTCTTTTCTTGTCTTGAATTTTTCTTTGATGACAGGCAGTTTTTGATCAAAGCATGGGAGCTCATGTACTTATGTGCATCGTCGATGCCTCCAAGCAAGGAAATTGGTGCATATCTCTCCGAATACTTCCACAATGTTGCATATGGTGCAAATGTAGACCCTGACATTCAGTTGCTTGCTCAAAACACTTTGAATGCTTTAAAACGTTCTATTAAGGCTGGACCTAGGCAAATAATTCCTGGACGAGAAGAGATAGAAGCTCTTTTAACTGGTAAAAAGCTTACAACAATTGTGTTCTTCTTGGATGAAACCTTTGAAGAAATCACCTATGACATGTCAACAACTGTAGCAGATGCAGTTGAGGTACACCTTAATAGCCATTGCATTGTGTTAATGTATTTAAATTTATCCATGCAATAATGTGAAATTACATATTTGGGAGGAAATCTACACCAGCCTTCATGAACGCTGTGCATTCTTGTATCTCGTAGGGTATTAGCAATGTTCCCTGGGCTCTAGACTGCTTCTGTCTTGTTCACAAGCTGCCTATATAAAATACTTCAATGCTGGTTGCTACGGATTGCTAAGAATTTGTTAATTGGTTCTTTGCTAGTATGGTGGTAAAACCTGAGGTCGTTCTGTCCTGTTCACAAGTTTTAGGGTTACTTGCCCCCCCCCCCACCCTCTTCCCTCTTACTTTTTTTTTTCGATGGAATCTCAGTTTGATTGTTGGACTTGTTATTTATAAGTTATTTTAAATTTCTTAGGATTCAGAAAGAGTAATGATACAGGATGGATTTAGAATGCAATTTTTGTAAACACCCTTAAGGTCATTTGCAAATGCTTCATATTGCTTTGTTCCCTGAATGAAATTATCCGGCAATTTCTTCACCTGGCCATCTTCCTCGTGCTTTGTTTTCCCAACTTCACCTTATATTTGTTTTTCAATTATACAGTATAAAATCGTTTGCTTATTTGCTCCTTTTTTTTCGTCAAGACAAAAAGGTGGCTAAAAAAAATTGACCTACCTCCATGACTTTATTCGTTTGTATGACTTATTTTCATAGCACATTATGAATGCAAGGCTGCTTAGTTTGAGATCAGAAATTTAGCAGCAATGAAGGTTGTAGCAAATCTTTCCATTCCATACATTGCTTACTTGCTTGTAGAGTTTGTGTTCGGCATACTGCTCATGCTCTTCAGGCAGTATCGAGTACTAGTGATCATGGGTATTTTTTCTGTATTGCACATGTAATCACTGGAAAGATATGTAATGAAACCTTTTCCTGACCTGACAGAGTCCAATCCCCCCTCCAGTAAAAAACTTTGATGATATTTGTTAAGTCTGCTCCATTTTCGGGTCTAGTTTGCTCGCGTGTTTTGTTGTTCTTGGCGAAGACTGAGGAATTGCTTAATTCTAATTTTTATTTTTTAGAATATGCAGAGTCCAAATTTTTAGTTCTTATGAATGTTGCTGCGACTAACATTATCCTTACCATATTCACAATTTGATTACATTCGTTAAGTCTGTTTCATTGTCGGAATTAGTTCTTTTGCACGTTCCATTATTCTTGGTGAAGAATGAAGAATTGCTTAATTCTAAATTCTATTCATTAGAATTTGTGGATTCCAAATTTTTAGTTCTTATAAATGTTGCTGCCACTAACATTATCCTTGCCATATTCAGGAACTTGCAGGAATCATCAAACTGTCTACATACTCTAGCTTCAGTTTGTTTGAGTTTCGCAAAGTTGTTCCAGGTTCTAAATCAAGTGATACTGGAACTGGTATATATTTTGATCCTAGTGATAGCCTTAAATAATTTATTCTCTTCCTAGATGCTGAACTTGCATTCCCTTTGCATTGTCACAGAGGAGTATATTGGGTTAGATGAAAACAAATACATTGGCGATCTCCTTGCGGATTTCAAAGCAGCAAAAGAGCGCAGTAGAGGGGAAATCTTGCATTGCAAATTGGTTTTAAAAAAAAAGCTGTTTCGGGAGTCTGATGAAGCTGTGACTGACCCAATGTTTATGCAGTTGTCGTATGTTCAAGTATGTGACTTGCTTCTATCATAAATGTTCAAGCTTCTGATAAATGGTTATTAAGCTTCTGATGCAGTCTATCGATTTTTTGTGCTGCAGTTGCAACATGATTATATACTGGGTAACTACCCTGTCGGAAGAGATGATGCTGCGCAGTTGTCTGCTCTGCAGATCTTGGTTGAGATTGGATTTGTTAGTCACCCAGAGTTGTGCACGTAAGTAAATCATGTTTGATGGTTGTGAACTTGCTACCCAGCCCTAATTCCCAGATACACTTGAAGTGCTTATTAATTCTTTCTCTTAGGATGAGAATGTTATATGTATTTAGCAAAGCATTGACAGTTTGGTGGGTGTATATGCAGTGATTGGACTTCACTTTTAGAGAGATTTTTACCAAGACAAATTGCAATAACCCGTGCAAAGCAGGACTGGGAGGTGGATATTATTTCTCGATATCACTTGATGGTAAGAGTCAAGACTTTGAAATCACACTTTTTCTTTTTTTTTTTTTAATTTTTTTTTTAATATTTTTTTCAAGAAATAAACCCTATTTTCATGGTTCCAAAAAGGGGAAAATAATACTGTAGTTTTAGCCGCTGTGATTTCAAAATATCATTGACTTTAAAAGCTAAAATCCTCTTACGTTTGGTTTGGACTCTGTTTCTCTTAACTCACATACTCAAAGACAACCACACATTCATACACATACACATACACATACACATTTATTAATGGTTGCACCGAAGAAGAATATTTATACTTATTTAATGTTGAAAGTTTGCAAGTCTTTGTTCACTATGGTAGAATTTAGTTATCTTTCATATTACATAAAACTTAGAATGTCAATGTTATTTGTTATTTGGTGCTGCACACTTACATTCTTTTGATGTTGTTTGAAAACATGATTTGATTCTACTGTAGGGTGCAATTGATTTTTTGATAAAGGATCGCAAGAGTAAATTCCATGTTAGATGCAATTAAAATTCAAGTGCTGTGTTTTTTACAGGATAAATTGTCCAAGGAAGATGCCAGGCAACAGTTTTTAAGGATCTTGAGACTGCTTCCCTATGGCAATTCTGTATTTTTTAGTGTCCGCAAGATTGACGATCCCATTGGCCTTTTACCCGGGAAGGTTATCCTAGGAATCAACAAGCGTGGGGTATGTCGTATGTTCTAAAAGAATTAACTTTATATGGTCTTGGCCATTTTTTGATGTCCTAACAACCAACATATCAATTCATGTTACTCCTACAGGTTCATTTTTTCCGGCCAGTTCCTAAAGAGTATTTGCATTCAGCCGAGCTAAGAGATATTATGCAGTTTGGTAGCAGCAATACTGCTGTGTTCTTCAAAATGAGGGTTGCTGGTGTTCTCCACATCTTCCAGTTTGAGACTAAGCAGGTTACACATCTTGTCTTATTTGGTGGTTGATAGTTGATTTGCATGTTTACTGTGCTCTAAGATTTACACGTAATTCAGGGTGAAGAAATATGTGTTGCTCTTCAGACGCACATAAATGATGTAATGTTGCGACGCTATTCTAAAGCAAGAACTGTTGCCAACAATGCAACAAATGGAGAAGCTCCCAACAGTTCTAAGCCTCCTGCTGCTACTCCTACTGCTGAAGCTTATGAGAAGCAACTTCAAGATTTGTATAACTCTATTGAAGAATCTCAAAAGCATATCGATCAAGTATGAAATTCCACCCACTTCTTCTTTGTTGTATATGTTCTGCTTCAAAGTTTGAGATATTTTGATAGATTTAATAGGTACCATCTATTACATGTAGTTGTGAATAAAATATATGGGGATAGTGAAAGGATGAAGAAGTGCTTTCGTTTATGCATTTGAAGGCTTTGTTTGCTAGAAAATCAGGATGGAAGCTTTAAGCTCTAAAAGCTGTAGAAAAGTCTCTGAACTTGAAGTTACTGAAATATAGAAATAAATTTATGTATTTTGGTAGAAATGTTGCTGTACATTAGATAATATGGTTTATTAATATTTTTTTTTTAAAGTGTGACAAGGAATCACTAACTTAAAGTTGAAGGATATGGTTGACACTAATCAATGTGCTTGTTTATTTCAGTTATTAGGAGAGTTAAAAGAAAAACATAAGGTAGAGGAGAATTTGCAAGAAGAGTTGAGTGCCTTGAAAGAATCCTTAAAGATTGAGAGGCGAAATGTGGGAAAGATAACAGCCGAACGTGACAGATTGAGCTCCTTATACGATGAAAAGGAAGCTGAATTTCAGGTATGCAGTATGCTTCCTTTCTGTCTAATTACCTGCAGGCTGCAACTATGATGTACTTTACCTGTCTCATTTTTATGATATAATTTGTACCGTCCAGTCAGCAGTGATGGAAAAAAATAGCTTGGAAATGAAATTAGCAAAGCTCAATGATACATTATCTGAGCAAAATGCGCAGCAGGACTTGCCAGGAGCAAATAATCAGGTAAATAGGACACTTTAATTGCACTTATTTGTAGCTTTTTGCTGTCGTGCATATCAATAACGATCATGTTTAAGCAGGATTTGAGTAAAATACATGATGAGTTGAGAGTGCGAAGTGAAGAATTGCATCGTGCTGAACAAACAGTGAAAAGACTTGTAGAGGAGAAGTTATCAATGGAACAAAATATTCGAAGGCTTGAAAGGAAACATACAGAGGAGGTAACACTATTCCTTTGGGTTTGGTTCTTCTTTTCTTGCTGTTGGACATTAGATATTTAGTAATACAGAGGAAGTAACACTATACCTCTGGTTTTGGTTCTTCATTTGTTCTTGTTGGATATTAGATATTAAGTCATATTGCTGCTTGATTTCAGAATGAGAATGTTGGGAAAGATTTTGAGAAAGAACGTCAAACCTTGAAGCTTCAAATCTCTGAACTTGAGAAGAGGTTGGAGGGGATGAAAAATGATTTAGAGATTGCCGAATCAAAACTTGAAGCCAAAGAGTCAGATCTGTCTGTCTTACAAAATAATCTGAGAGAACTAGAGGAACTCAGGGAAATGAAAGCGGTAATGTATCTTAATCTGTTGAAATATTAATAAGTTACCTCTACATGTTCTAACTTCTAAGGTCTCCTTCCTCGTTGCATAATTTTGTTCAGTTGTGAGATGCGTAATGACGACTTGAAGTTGTATGTTATTGCTTTCTTGTAGGATATTGATAGGAAAAATGAGCAAACTGCGGCTATCCTGAAAATGCAAGCTGCACAATTGTCCGAGTTGGAAGTGCTGTATAAGGAAGAACAAGCAGCGAGGAAGAGATATTTTAACATGATTGAAGGTTGTTATTTAATGTTAATTGACACCAATTACACTTTGTTGACAAGATTTAATATTGATATGTATTGACTTGTCATTTTACTTTGTACAGACATGAAAGGCAAGATTAGAGTCTATTGTCGTGTAAGGCCACTAAGTGGTAAAGAAAAAACTGATAATGAAAAGAGCATTGTCATAAGTTCAGATGAATTTACAATTGAACATCCATGGAAAGATGAAAAGGCTAAGCAACATATTTATGATCATGTTTTTGATGGAAGTGCAACCCAAGACGATGTTTTTGAGGATACCAGGGTAAGTAGTGATTAGTAAATGTAGCTTCCATGTTAAGTGTCTTTTCATTTTTTTATGGTGTATATTGTTTTCCTTGGTTACATGTTTTCATTTGATTTAAGAAAGAGTGAGTTTATGTAATATCATATTTCTTTAGTCTTCTGGTGATTTAGCAGTGTCTTAAAGTAACACAATATGCTATCAAGTGTTGACTAAATGAATTTCTAATTTTATGCAGTATCTAGTGCAATCTGCTGTGGATGGATTTAATGTTTGCATATTTGCCTATGGTCAAACTGGTTCTGGAAAGACATATACCATATATGGAACAGAAAGTGAACCTGGACTTACCCCACGTGCCACGTCGGAACTTTTCAAAATCTTGAAAAGAGACAACAAGAAGTTTTCATTTTCATTGAAGGTAGCCATCTTGCTATGCTATATTTGTCATTACTATTTTAAAAGTATTAGTTAATGTTGTCTGAAAATATCTTCAATCTATTTGAAATTTTTTCAGCCAATATTAAGGTTAATAATAAATATTGTGTAGGCTTATATGTTGGAGCTGTATCAAGATACATTAATGGATCTTCTAGTACCAAAAAATGCAAAGCGATTGAAACTAGACATCAAGAAAGATTCGAAGGTATTATGTTTAGATAATACTGCACTAGCGCACATTCCCTTGTTTTGCTTATTTCTTCTTGTTACTATTGTTGTATGTCATGTATGGTTCTATTGTTCCTTGACTTTAAAGTTTTTGTAACTTAATGCATTAAAACTGTTTTTGTACTGATAGTTTTTACATTGGTGTAGGGGATGGTCAATGTTGAAAATGTGACAGTTGTACATGTCTCTACGTATGAGGATTTGAGAAGTGTTATTCAGAAAGGATCCGAGCAAAGGCATATATCAGGAACCCATATGAATGAGCAAAGTTCAAGATCTCATCTTATACTTTCAATTATCATTGAAAGTACTAATCTTCAAACGCAATCTGTATCTAGAGGAAAGGTAATGACATCACCTAAGAACATACAAGTATTTATTTTACATGTGTGAGTTTTATAGCGTATTAGTGGTGGAAATTGCAGGGGATTTTTCTCCAGCTAACTTCGACTGTATTGATGTTTCTAGTTATATATTTCGTATATAATTTGTTAATGTTTAGCTCGACCCTTGCAGTTAAGTTTTGTTGATCTTGCTGGATCTGAACGAGTGAAGAAGTCAGGGTCTGCAGGTAGTCAATTGAAAGAAGCTCAAAGCATCAACAAGTCACTTTCGGCTCTTGGCGATGTTATTAGCGCATTATCCACCGGCGGGCAGCATATACCATACAGAAATCACAAATTAACAATGTTGATGAGTGATTCTCTTGGTGGCAATGCGAAGACACTGATGTTTGTTAATGTGTCTCCCGCTGAATCAAATTTAGATGAGACCTACAACTCCTTAACGTATGTTCCACCTTCTTTACATAATATGTTTTTGCTCCTTCTGATCATATATGTCTTCTGAATCACATAATTAAAAATAGAAAATAAAAAAATAAAAAAGAGATCCTTGGTGTGATTGTTGTGTAAACTTCAGCATCAACCAATTATGTAGAAGCTGTACTACTAAAGATAAAGGAGACTTCAGACTTGTCCCTGACATGCTATAGCTAAATTGACGTGTCATTTGATTTTCATATGTTTAATTTTCACCCTGTGCTTCAATTCCAGGTATGCGTCAAGAGTTCGATCCATTGTAAATGATCCGAACAAAAATGTTTCATCAAAAGAAGTTGCTAGGTTGAAGAAGCTCGTTGCTTATTGGAAGGAGCAAGCAGGTAGAAGAGGGGATGACGAAGATCTTGAGGAGATACAAGATGAAAGGCCTACACCAAGAGATAAATCTGATGGCCGTCATTCCATGTAAGTTGTATATCTTGTTACCTTGAAGATGACGAGTCAATTTTCCTGAGGTGGGGATACCTTCATTGTGCTTTAGGAGTGCCTTGGGTTCCTCTATTGTGGCGGTCTGACAGAGTAGTTGTAGATCCATGATGCCATTGAACCATCTTGCTCTAGGTTTCATGTATGTCAGTCTCTTCCACTCAGGGCTTTGGTGGTTATGTGATGATCATCAAACTGTATAGGCAGAAATATGAAATTTGTGTATATTTTTTGTTACTCTTCTTACATTAACATTTTTTTTTTTTTATTCTCACCTTTATTGTAATGGTTAGGTCTTTGTAACAGTAGGGAAGCCTTTGTTTTCGGTCTTGATTTTATTCGGAAATTTTACAGTTAGGAAGATTAGGAGGTAGTTTATACCTATATTTCCTGGCAAACCAAGGTTGTCCTTGTTTGTCTATTTTTAGATCTTGGGGAATTTTCATTTCCCTTTATTAAGGGATAATCGTGTACTGATGAATGATATGACATTTGCGTTGAATGTTCAATCAAGATGTATGAATGTTTTGTACATATACTTGGCCAGTATCATTTTCATCTTTGCTTTCGTTTTCAATATTTATGAAAGATTTGTACTTTATTTTTATGTTAATCTGATAGTTGATTGCTGTAGTTTGATTAAGTCACGACTCATGACAAGTGTTAGGAAAATTGATTTTGGTATAGAGGGTGCCATACATGGCCTTTAAATTACAATGACGAATTATGTATGGAGTATTGAACTATTAGCAAGCAAAATGTTTACTATGCACCCAAATGTATCATACTCCCAGGAAAAGGTCGAACGACCTTCAACAAAAGGGTACCTGTACCCGAAACCGACACTAGTAGGTAGGTAGAGAATACCTAGGGGCGCGAGACAACTCTCTCTAAGGAACTCGGCAAAATAGCCCCGTAACTTCGGGAGAAGGGGTGCCCCCTCACAAAGGGGGTCGAAGTGACCAGGCCATCCTAACAAGTTACCGACACGCCAATGACTCTAACAAGCCACAGAATGACCTAAATGTGTATTAGCTCACGTGTGTATAGAGAAGGCAGAAGATACAAAAAAAAAGAAAAAAAGAAAAAAAATGTATTGGAATATCCAATTCTAGCCTCACAAAATTGTTATTGTACATTAAACTTGAGTCTTTATATCTTAAAAAAAATCTCACAATCTATTACGAAGTTATTTACAACGTGCCTAAAATAGAAGGTTCAATTCCAGTAGTAGATGTACTCGAAATTGAAAGGAAGCCAAAAAAAAAAGGGAAGCTAGGAAAAATGGGGTTGTTTAAGAGTGGTAAATCATGAGGAACCCCTTAAATTAATGATAGATATGAAATCAGTTTTAGGACAATTGCTTGATCTTCCACTTGAAATCAAACAACGGAATGTGGACGTTATACCTATATGAATCCTGGGGACTTTTCGACGTTGCTTCATCAGGCCTCTGTCTCTTCTTTTTGATCTCAGCTCCAAGTTTCTCCCCAACAAAGTGCTAGAGATTAATATGAAAGTAGCAAGTAAGCAAGCTAGAAGAGGAAGAACAATGGCAGCCCAGGGAATGATAGTAGTATTATCAAACAGAGTGTTTAACAATACAGACCTTCTTTCGAGAGGAATGAGCTCTCCCAATACAAACTCCTTGATTAATTTCTTGATGCCTTCCCCCTCAACCAATCACCTATTAATACCCCAAAACTAACCCATAAAACAAACTTAAACACAGCTAAAGCATGACAGCCATAATAACAAACTCATAACAACTATAGATTACTATTTTACCCTCTACCCCAAAACTGATACTAACAACCTTCCAACTCAGCATTCTTCTAGCTAATTCTTCTTGGGCCTTCTAACATAAGTGAAACGGATATCAGTTTTAGGCTGATTCCTTGTAATACCCCGCATCCAAAGTTTCACCTTGTCCTCAAGGTGGAAACTAGGGAACCTGAGATTAACTTCTTCAAAGTATTCCCAAGTAGCTTCAAAGTCCTGCAAACCCTTCCAATGTATCAAAACTTCCATAGTAGCTTGAGAATTTCTCACACCAAGCATTGCCCACGGCTCAACCTCCAACACCAAATCAGCAGGCAATTGTGCAGGAAGGCTGGTTGGTCGATGCCCTGCCCCTAAGGCCTTCTTCAACTGAGATATGTGAAAAACTGGGTGAATTTTCGACCCTGGGGGAAGTTGCAACTTATAGGAAACTTTGCCAATTTGTTGAGTCACCTGGTAAGGGTCATAAAAGCGAGGAGATAGCTTATCATTGGATTGTCTCACCAAGGACCTTTGCCTATATGGCTGTAATTTCAGGTAAACCAAATCACCCACCTGAAAAACTCCCTCACGCCTTCCCTTGTTTTTCATAGTGTTGCATGTATACCTGAGCCTGCACTAAATGGAACTTCAAGTCATCAAGTATAGCATCGCATTCCTGCAATTGTGCTTCTACGGAAGACACATCTGTGCTGCCAGCGAAGAACCTGATCAAATGAGGGGGGTCCCTACCATAAAGAGCCTTGAAAGGAGTGTAGTTGGTGGCGGTGTGGAAAGAGGTATTGTACCAATATTCTGCCTACGGTAACCAATGAGCCCAAGTATGTGGTTTGCCGTTCACAACACATCTCAAATAAGATTCCACTCCCTTGTTGACAACCTCAGTTTGGCCGTCTGTTTGGGGGTGGTATGCCGTGCTGCGCATGAGCTGAGTACCTTGAAGCTTGAACAATTCCATCCAAAAAATGCTAAGGAAGACCTTGTCTCGATCTGACACAATGGAGCTTGGTATTCCATGTAACTTCACTACCTCAGACATGAAACTTTGCGCCACACTCTGAGCAGTAAAAGGGTGTTTGAGCGGGATGAAATGCCCATACTTGGTTAATCTATCCACTAGCACGAATATGGTATCCCAGCCTAAGGACTTTGACAATCCTTCTACAAAATCCATAGATATGTCCTCCCAAACCCTTTCTGGAATTGGTAAAGGTTAGAGAAGACCCAAGGGAGACAAGGTTAAAGGCTTGTTCAAGGTTGAAGGCTTGTTCTGCTGACAAACGTGACTGTGCTGGACATATTTTGCCACATCCTTTCTCATCCCAAACCAGAACCATTCCCCTGCCAAAAAACGGTGGTAAGTCTTGAGGTCACCATCGTGCCCACCCACCAAAGAGTCATGATACTCTTTGAGCAGCTTGGAGGTCAGCTCACATTACTTCGGGACCACTATCCTCCCCCTGTATTTCAAAACACCATTTTCCAATGTAAACCACTTTGGTGCTGCTTCCCCTTTTTGTAGTTGCAAAATCAAACGTTGTAGAGCTGCATCCTTATCTATAAAAGCTTGTACATAATCCCAACGAAGACCACATGAAGTCACCATAGTACCACATTCAAACTCAGGGCTATGTTGGCGGGATAACGCGTCTGCCACTTTATTGGTAGGACCCGGCTTGTAATGAATATCAAAAGTGTACCCAATCAGCTTGCTAATCCACTTTTGGTATGCTTGTCCCACCTCCCTTTCTTCCAAGAGATACTTAAGGCTTCTTTGATTGGTTCGAACAATGAAATGACGGCCCAGCAAATAATGCCTCCATTTCTCTAGCGTAAACACAATTGCCATCAACTCCTTCTCGTAGATGGGTTTACCCCTATTTCTAATGCCCAAGATTTTGCTATAATACGCAATTGGGTGCTCTGCCTGTAGCAGGACAACCCCTAAGCCATGCCCTGAAGCATCCGTTTCAACCACAAAAGGCAGAGAGAAATCAGGTGCTGCCAAGATAGGAGCATTCACCATGGTAGCCTTTAGTGTATTGAAGGCTGAAGTGGCAGCCTCAGTCCACCCAAAATTCTCCTTGCGCAATTGATCAGTCAAGGGAAGAGTAATTTGTGCATAACCTTTAATAAACTTGCGATAGTAACCTGTAAGGCCAAGGAACCCCCTGAGCTGCTTCAAGTTCGTAGGGGGAGGCCAATCTAACATGGCCTGGACCTCGGAAGAGTCAACTTCCACCCCGGTTGCTGAGATGACGTGACCTAGATAAGCCACCCTTTCCTTCCCGACTTCACGCTTCTTAAAATTGGCAAACAACTGGTGGTCGGCTAGAAACTGCAAAACTTGCTGCAAGTGTTCCTTATGAGTTTCAATACAAGGACTATACAACAATATGTCGTCGAAGAACACCAAGACGAACTTACGCAGGAAGGGCCTGAAAACGTCGTTCATAAGTGACTGAAACGTGGCAGGGGCATTGGTTAGCCCAAAGGGCATTACGAGGAACTCGTAATGACCCTCATGGGTTCGAAAAGCTATCTTATGAACGTCCTCGGGCTTTACCTGAATCTGGTGGTAACCAGATTATAAGTCAAGTTTTGTGAAAATCGCCGAGCCACCCAATTCGTTAAGTAATTCATCAATGATAAGGATTGGGAATTTATCAGTGACTGTTTCCTTGTTTAGGGCCCTGTAATCAACGCAAAAAACGCCATGACCCGTCTTTTTTCTTCACCAACAAAACCGGACTAGAGCAAGCACTTGTCGAAGTCTGAATTATCTCTGCACTGAGCATATCCGAAACCAGCCTCTCAATTTCATCCTTCCGAGTTTGCGGATATCTATATGGTCTGACTCTAATTGGATTAGCACCACTACGCAACACAATGGCATGCTCAATCTGTCTCTGTGGGGGTAACCCATTAGGCATGTGAAATACATGCTGAAATTCCTGTACCAGTGGTATGAAGGCTGTAGGAATGTCTGATCTGCTTCCACTGCCTTCTCTAAGTCATCCTCGTCATCATCATCCACCATGAGCAACACGCTCAAGTCGCTGCGTTGACAGCGGTGGTTCATCGTCCACTTTTCATCACAACGGAAGCACAAACCCTGCTCCTGCTTTTGTTGAAGTTCCTTTTCGGTTTACCGCCTTATTTTGCCGGTGTTTTTGTGGTTGTTGAAGGTGTTTCGGTTCGGAAAAGGTTGGTAGGTGGAAGTCTGGTGGTTCGGGTTTGTGTTTAGGGTTGTGGTGTTTGGGTTTGGTGTGTTTGGGTTGGATCGAGGGTTTGGGAAGGGGGTACGCCAAGTGGGCGTGTTTCCAGCAAGTTTGGGCCGTGGGCCGATCCTCAATTTTTCCTCAATTTGCATGGACAGATCCATGGCGTGATCTAAGGTTATCGGGTCTAAGATCCGGACCTCAACCCGAATTTCCTCCTTTAACCCATTAATATACTGACCCTTTGCGATCTCCTCTGGTACACCATCAATCGGAGCGAGAAGTTCGATGAAGCGTCGCCGATAATCAGCCACTGTGCCGGTTTGCTGGTGAGCGAGCCACTGATCGTGTAGCGTGCCAGTGGCGGTGGTTCTGAAACGCCAGAGAAGCAACTTCTTCAGCGCTTTCCACGATAACAATGGATGGTGCCGATGCTCCTATTGATACCAAATCAAGGCGTCTCCGTCAGGCGCGACAATGGCCGCCTCGAGCTGATCCTCTTCACTTAACAGGTAAAAATGGAAGAATCGTTCAACTCTAAGGATCCAA